ATATAACACGAGCCCACGAGCTGCTCGGCGAGCCGCTCGTGAATAGTGCGAGCCGAGCCTTCTCGGCTCGTGCTCGGGCTCGTTTTTTGACGAGTCCGAGCGGCTAGTGGGCATGAATAGTACGAGCCGAGCCTACGAGCCGACGAACCGCTCGACTCGATTGACATCTCTAATATTACTCTTATCAAACAAGAGCTAAATCTTATTGTTTTAAGATTTTATTTAAAAGGTAAAAGCTTTCATTTTCGTGGACTCAAAACAATAGTCCACTATTTCGTCATCATCACAATCAACACTATGCAACCTACAGGTTACTGCATATTCTGTTCAAGTTATTACGTAGAATATTCTAGACGTTCAGTTTTTTCTCAAAATCCCCGAAGAACAGCTTACTACCAGTCAACGGTCAAGATCGTTGGCCCATCCCTCATCTAGATTTAATCTCCACCATCGATACACTCGTTCATTTACCTATATAACCTACCACCATTCTTGGTCTCTCCCTCTCTAGTTCTCTTCTCAGCCCCTTTTTTGGTGAAATTGACGAAATTTCACAGAGCTACAAATCTTGATCCATAGAACAATATAGTAAATCACGATGTTTGGGAGGGCACCGAAGAAGAGTGATAACGCCAAGTTCTACGAGATCCTTGGCGTGCCTAAACGGCGTTGCCGGACGATTTGAAGAAGGCGTACAAGAAAGCTGCAATCAAGAATCATCCTGATAAGGGCGGAGATCCTGAAAAGGCATTCCTTTTTTTTTTTTCTAACATTTCGATTTTTCTTCCGTTAGCATTGCTTAAGTTCGATGGTGAAAATTATGTGCATTTAATAGCTGATGTAATTTTACAAGTTAATTCGATTACTAGTAATGTAGCGGTTCCGTTTTGTAATTAATTGTCTATATTGTGTAAAATGCAGTTTTGATTGTATGTTTACTTTTCATTTTTCTTTTGATTTTGGAGTATCTGATTGTTATTTGATTGTCTATAATCTGCATTGATGATTGTTGTAGAATAAGGAGAAAGGGGAGCAACGTTCTAAATACTGGGCATCTGTTTGTCTTCGATTTTATCAAACATTGTTTGCTACATTAAACAATCTCCTCCACATATTCAATCAATAAAATACTCTACACATTAACCCATAAAATTAATTTACTTTTCAATCGCACATTCTCCAAAAAAAAAAAAAAAATACTATTCAAAACTCTATTTCTTCTTTTTGGGAGACAAAAGCACTGTAGGAGAAGCTGATAATTTTAAGTACGATGTGGAGAACAATAGACAAAGACGGCTTTCATTTTCAGAATAAGAAGTTTTTGAATTGAACTACTAGTTTAATAGGTTTATATATTCTTGTTTCAAGTATAGAGTTAAGGAAAATTAATATTTTTATGGAATCTTTCATAAAAAAATGAATATGAGCATAAGTTCTTATGATGTATCTTTGTGTCGTATTATTTCAAATTTTAATATGAGCTGTTTCAATTCTCACTATGTATCTTGTTTTATTGCAGTAAAATGAGTTTGATCAAGTTATATGATTAAGGGTTAGCTACATAGTAACTTACCCACATTTCTTATCTTGCACTGTGAAACTAAAGTAGCTTATTAAGAGGGATTTGTTAGCAGAGTTCGTGGAATAAAGTTTCATAAGCCATGTTTGCATTTGTATATATAAAATTGGATAAAAATTATGTTTAAAAACCCGAAAAGAAATTCAGATTAAAATTCAATTGTGTGCCCTGGTTTTGGGTGCTATCTACCTGTCTTCCTTCCAGAAGGCAGCTTCGGGGTTTTACACGCCATATAATCTGTCAGGTGTGCTCCACTTGCAAGTTTGCTCTTCAACTAATTCTTAACCATCAATTTTATTGTATGTTCATTATCTATTTCATTGGTTCCAATAAAGCATGTAACTTTAAGCTGCTATTTACCTGTCGTTTGATACTTTGAAGTCACCTATCAGTGAAGCTATGAATATGATAGTCAATAGAGGTGTTAGATATTAGATGTTTTAATAAGCATTATAATACATTTTTGGATTCTCTTGTTTTGAGCCGGTGAAGTTTGTTGTAGTACGATTAAATGAGGTCTTTTACCATCTCATTCAGAAATTGATATTTGGGTAGAGCTCGTCTAATTTGGTTTAGTTAGACTAAGTTCTCAGTGAAGTCAATTAGATTTCAGGTGGTGTTAATTTTGTTGGTTCTGTATTACTTAAGTTTAGAAGAGTTCGTCCAATGACTGTTATGGCATGAAAATCAATCGTAGGTGAGCATCAGTTGTTTCGACCAATTATCCATTTCTATTGCATGATTTGATCTCGTGACTATAAATCTTATTGAGCTGGGATTATTCCAGTTTAAGGAGCTTGCTCATGCTTATGAGGTTTTGAATGATCCGGAGAAACGTGAGATCAACGACCAGTATGGTGAAGACGCGCTCAAGGAAGGAATGGGTGGCGGCGGTGGCATGCAATACCCATTTGATATCTTCTCTTCCTTCTTTGGTGAGAGTCCATTTGGAGGTGGGACATTTTATCCTGCTTTGTATTTCATATGTTTGAGAATATAAGAATGTATTTTTATATTTTATTAGCTTTGATAGTCCTCATATAACCTTGTAAGTGGAACATACCTTGAAGGAGGAATTCTATTGTTGATATCTAGGTGGTGGTAGCAGTAGGGGACGGAGGCAGAGAAGGGGTGAGGATGTTGTACATCCATTAAAGGTCTCTCTTGAAGATCTTTATGTTGGGACCACCAAGAAGCTCTCTCTATCACGAAATGTTCTTTGTTCGAAGTGTGATGGGCAAGTTTTTAGACTCTTCTGTTGGAAGTGGTTAATGAATGTTTAGCTCAATCGCCACACTATATTTCATTTTCTTTGATGATTGGTATCTGTGCATTTTCTTGTTTGCAGAAAGGGATCAAAATCTGGAGCTTCAATGAAGTGAGGGGTGTCAAGGAACTGTATGAAAGTTACAATTAGACAGCTTGGCCCAGGTATGATCCAGCAAATGCAGCATGCTTGCAATGAATGCAAGGGAACTGGAGAGACTATTAATGATAGAGGTCGATGCCTACAGTGCAAAGGCGAAAAAGTTGTTCAGGAAAAGAAAGTTTTGGAAGTCCACGTAGAAAAGGGTATGCAGGACTCACAGAAGATTACATTCCCCGAAGAGGCTGATGAAGTGGTGAGATGGCTCAATCCTGTGTTTCTTTTGTAGGATAGATTCTGCCAATTCCATAAAAATTGTTGGGTGCTTAAGTGTATTTTGTTTCCTTACAGCCTGACACCATGACTGGAGACAGTTTTAGTCCTCCAGCAGAAAGAGCATCCAAAATTCAGGAGAAAGGGTGATGACCTCTTTGTGGAGCACACACTTGCTCTCACAGAAGCATTATGCGGATTTCAGTGCATCCTGTCCCACTTGGATGACAGGCAACTCCTTATCAAATCACAATCAGGAGGCCTATGATGAGGATGATGATATGCATGGTGGAGCCCAGAGGGTGCAATGTGCTCAGCAGTGATGAGCCAGCTGCGAATAAATTGTGTTAGTATGGTGTGTTTGATGTCGGATTTGTTACTTGATAAATCCTCTAATTCTATAAATGTGACATAGCTGATTCTATCCTCTATGAAACATTATTTAGTTTGTGTATTTCTGTTCTTGTACCTTATGTCATGATTCTTTTTTGCTGAACTACCGCTTAATCTTTGATGTTAATTATATATGTACGACTCGAAATGGGATGTGCCATATTGCAAACTAAGTTGCGAGCAAATGACCTCTCATGACCGAATAGAATGACCTATTTGGTAAGATGAATTCTGGAGATACCATAATGTTTGAGGGGTGTAAATTTTGGGTTTATCGTCAGATTTTATGCACAATCTTGCAACATTTATAAGACGATCTCTGTCAAATCATAGTTGTTTCCAATATCTGAATCCATCATCGCGTTCATTGAAAACTTCAGCTTTTTTTATGCAACATTTTGAAATATGGCCTTAAATAAAAATTCCATCGCCAAAGGTTTTCTATAATTCTTTTCAACCCATGAGTCGCCTTCTTTATAGCTTTGTACATAAGCGCTTTCACAAGAATGTTTTGGCTGAAATACCCCTTGACAACATAACCCGCGAGCATCAGAAGAGATTTGCTACGTGCACAACTAATTTGACAATTTATGAGATGTAAATATCTTGGCTGTTGATTTGAATAATATCATTGTACAAGTAGTTTAACTCGCATTAGAATGGCGGCTGCTTAAGCGGGCAGAATGTTTCCTCTTTGTGTGGGTGATCCGCTCAAGCGTTTTATGCTCCACTTGAGCGGATAGAGAAGGTCGAATCTGGCTTCTTCATTTTCTCGAGCAGGGTTGTACTTGTGGATGCTAGGTGGCCTATGCTCAGCGAAATAATTGAGTTGAAAAAAACTTCAAAACGCCTCCTGCTTTTTTCTCCGAACTCGTTTCTTTTGATCTTGTCAATGCACCTCAAGATCAAGGTCTTGTCCTAACACAATGAACACGCGCTAAAAATTCAGTAAAAATCAATTTACAAACACTACTAAAAATCTCTTAAAAGGCTAAATAAGTGATAGAACACAAGTCATCATCAATGGAGGCATACGAAGTTGAAGTTCCTTCTTATTTTCTCTGTCCAATCTCTACGCAACTGATGAAAGATCGAGTCACAGTTATGACCGGGATAACATACGACAGGGAAATATAGAAAAATGGCTGTTTTCATTCAAGAACACAACATGTCCAGTCACAAAACAACAAGTATTAGAAACGGATCTCACTCCTAACCACTCGCCGTCCATTGATTCAGGCCTGGTTCACTCTCAATTCATCCTATGGCGTCGAAAGAATTCCAACCCCTAAGGCAACGGTTGACAAATCCCACATTCTTAAACTCCTCGATGAAGCCAAGAAATCACCAGAAGCACAGCTCAAGAGCCTGCAAAGACTCCGATCCATCGTGCAATGAAAAACGAAAGCAATAGAAGGCAATTGGAAGCTGCTGGCGCAGTTGAATATTTAGCATCGATAATAAAAAAAAGATGCATTCGATAGGGATCAAGATTCAGACTTTAGCCTGGAAAGTGATGAGGCATTGAACATTCTTTATCATCTAGAAATCTCAGATTCAGTTTTGAGGAAAATCTTAGAAAATGACGATCAAATCTTGGAGGGCTTATTGCACGTATTGAAATGCGGGAATTACCAATCTCGAGCTCATGCAATAATGATACTTAAATCTGCCTTAAATGTGGCTAATCCAGTGCAGTTGTTTGGAGTTAAGCACGAATTCTTCATCGAAATAGTCCAGATTTTGCACGACAAAATCTCGCAGCAAGCTTCCAAGGCAGCATTGAAGCTCCTTGTGGAGCTATGTCCATGGGGAATAAACAGAATCAAAGCAGTCGAGTCAGGCTTAGTTTCCGCACTAATAGAGCTTCTTCTTGACACATCTGAAAGAAGGGCTTGTGAGCTAATTTTGACAGTATTGGAAAAGCTATGTGGTTGTCCTGAGGGCCTGGCCGAGCTATTGAAACATGGAGCTGCACTTGACAAATACGTAGGGTTTCACATGTGGCAAGTGATAAGGCAGTTAGAATATTTTCTTCAATTTCAAAGTTTTCATCAAATTTTAGGGTTCTTCAAGAAATGTTGCAAGTTGGGGTAGTCACAAAGTTGTGTTTGGTGCTTCAAGTGAGCAGCAGTCAGAAAACAGAAGAGAGGACTAAGGAAATCCTTATGCTGCATTCTAGGGTTTGGAAACAATCTTCTTGTATTCCACCTCAGTTAATCTCTTCTTGTCCATCCACTTAATTTTTTTTTTTCACTTAAATTGTTTACACAAAGGAATGGAATTTGATAAATGAGAGGAACAGCCTCGTAAAATTAAATTCATGTAAAAATTCCCTTGATATATAGTTCAGGCATGGAATCTGCTGTCAAAAGTTTGCAAAGCAATTGCCCTCCAGAATTTGTGGAAGACAAGATGGGACGGGGACATGAATTATAATATTTCTATTTGTAGTCCATTTACTTATTTATATATATTTATATGTTTTTTCAAACACAATTTAAATTTAAAAATCTAAGGGGGAAAAAATGATTCTAGGTGAGGCGAGGCAAGGTAACTTGGGAAGGAGAATAGTATTTTGCCGGAAAAAATCATAAGTACAAATGTTACAGTGAGATGAGATTCAACCACTTAGCTCAAATAGACAACAAGATAGACAAATAATCGAACAACAAAACACACTAAAAATAAGAGATTGTTATTAATCGTTGCCTTCAGGCAAACCACAAAAGATCAATGTCCTAGCTGCTGAAGAACAACCACCAGTTCAAGCGAAATCACAACCAAGGAAAAAACGGCAGGAATTTCGACACTCAGACTAGACCCCTTATAGCACAGTACTCAGCCTATTCTCAATATCATATGTTCACACAAGAACACAACACTTCTTACAAGTAGAAACCACTCAAGATCACAATATTGTGAGAGCAACGAAAATCAAAAGAGAGTTTTGACTTTCAGAGAGGAAGGAGAGTAGAAAGAACTCGAACAACGCATAGAGGGTTTGAGAGAAAAAAATCAGAAGCGGAGTCCACTGTTGAAACCCTAAGAAGCCTTTTATGTGAGTCACCCAAAGGTCTTCATCCAATGGTCGTGGAGTTGACACTTGACGACATTAGCGGTGTCAACGAGCCGAGCCGAGCCGAGTCCGACCAAAAAAAATGAGGCTCGACTCGAGCTTTTGACCCGAGCCTTAACGGGCCGAGCCAGCTCGGATTTTTTGGTTTTTTTTTTCCTGAGCTACAGGCAGGCACCTTGCAACCAACCTGCGGCAGGTTGCAAGCAAGCTACCTGCAGCAGCTTACAGCAAGCTGTGCAGGTAGCAAGCAACAAGCTACCAACACAGCAAGCTGTGCCTGCAAGCTATGCAGGCAGCAGCAGCTTGCTGCTGTGCAAGCTGCTTGCCTTCAATTTTTTTTTTTTTTAAATAGTAGGCTCGCCCGGGCCACGGGCCGGCCAGGGCTCGAGCCGACTCCCCAAAGTGGGCTCGGCCCGAGCCTAAGCTCGATTCCACCGAGCCCGACCAGGGCCCGGCTCGGGCTTTTTCCGAGTTGAGCTCGAGCCGTCCGAGCCTCTGAGCTTTTTTGCCACCGCTAGACGACATCATAAGCTTTCATTCAAACAGGTAAATTAAAACACGGCTTTCTTCGAATTTCTAGAAACACGATTATGCCCCAATTTAATAAACAATCAGTCAATTGGTCAACAATCCAGCTTTGAGTGTTGTTTGGCATCATTGTGCCATTCCCTTTAGTTACAAAATACTTTAAATCAGATGTGTATACTCTTGCCTCCGACAATGTCCATATTCGCTGCCACCACACATACCACTACCTTCACCTCAAATACACCACCACCTCTACCATCCAAACTACTTCAAAATCAGATCTATGTACTCTGACCACTAAATACCGAAGTAAAATGTTGCAAGTTAGGGCAAGGGAGCAGGAGGTCATGTCGGCAATGTTACATGCGCAGCTGTAGAAGGTTATGAAGGGATCAAGAGAGATTGCTGGAGGGATTGAGTTTAAATGGAGTAAAAAGAGAAATGGTGGTTCTGAGAGAGAATAGAGAGAGATGGTTAAAGAGCGAGAAATGGTTAGGGAAAGACAAAATTTGATTTTTTTTTTTAATTAATAATTGATTTTGTAAAAAAAAATAAAATTTAATAACTTAATTTACGATAATCATATTTTAAAACCATGGTTTTGGGTAATTTTCCCATTTTACGTACAATATTGGACACAAGGAAACTTTTTTGATCGGGCAAATGCTGATCCACGTTATCGATTATGCCTGTTGAATACGTTGACAGTGTTCTTTTTTTTTTTTTAAACTTTCAATGAAAATTCGTCGAGTATCTGTCTGTTTAAAACTCTGTCATTGAGTTTGTTCCTGTAGCACAGGACTGTTCACTCTGTGGGCTTAACATGGCAATTGCAGATTTGTTCAATTAGAGGTTTCATGCAAGTTGCCCGAAAGGAAATTCCAGTCAGCCTAACCCACCAAAAATTAGGTGAGAGGAATTGTCTTATAATTGGACCAATAATAAGTTTAACCGTACGTTGGACTCTTTTTGATGGATCTTAGAAAATGAAAACATGTGTTACATACATGTCATTTTTTTCCATGCAAGAGAGAAAAATGACCATTTTCTTGCATGCCTCAATAATTGATTTTAGAGCCTGTCTGGCCCAGATTATTGCAGCCAAATAATTGATTTTCTTCCCGTTGCAGCCTACAAAATTTGACCATTTCTCTCTGCAGTGGGATCTACAGATCTCCTCCAACGTTTTAAAAAGTGATTTTCCTACCCAATTTCTGTGCGCCCAGACAGCCTCTTAATAATTAAACTCCGCATGTTATTTTAACTCGCGACTAACTAATTCGCGTTGAGGTAACTTCTGACACTGAGGAACAAGTCGAGCAATATAAAGAAACGGTTCCATAAACACTAGTTATGGAGTTGATTTCCTTTATTACTAGTTAAAAATACACCGAGTTTACACTACGTCTTCTGCATAATGAAACATGCATATTGTCATGCAAGCATTAGCATTAAATACGACATGGATGTTGCCAAAAGCTACCGAATATAAACATTCATTTTAGACATACTTTAGATTTTTCGCGACACATCTCTAGCAGATAATTTCCATATATACATTAAATTTTGTTGTCTGTCTTATAAAAGTGCTTGATGTTGAAGCTGTGAATGAGCCCTCGATCTCTTGAATTCTTCATGCCACGAAGTCTGATAAGAGCTGAGCTGAAAATGGCTTCCTATTCTGGAAATCAACAATCTGATCGTGATAGCCAATGTTTGAATGGGATTCTTGAAGATTGTTAACCGTATTGAAGTTATTTTCCACTGTTCCTGCAGTTTCAATTCTTGTTCCCAATTTAATGTTTTCTGAAGGTGGCAGTCCCAGAGTGAGAAAAACATTGTTTCCATGGAATCTTGTACCCAGTTGCTCAGATCCGTTAAACCTTCCGAGTTCTTCCATCGCATACGTATCGAATCTGTTACTATGACTAGTATTAGCAGCCATTAATGTTAAATAGTTGTCTCTTGACAACCCTTTGCTTGTCTGATCTGCTGCTTTTGTTTTCATTTGCATTGGAACTGCATTGCTTGGAGAATTGCCATTTCTTGGTTTTTTTGAATTCTTTTCGGGTATTCCCTCCATTTTCCCATTGTTATTCTCTTCTAGAGCAGTGGATTTTGAGACCAATTCTCGCACAGCAGCTCCACTTTTGCTTGTGTTTTCTTCGGAAATTTTTGATTCTGAATTCTTCATTTCTTCCAAGTACATTTCCTCAACCATAGGTTTCCATAGCCGAACACGAGCATTTATGAACCAGTTAGACACCTGCAATAGTATATAGATCATCTTATATTGATAAAATCTCAAATCAAATTCAACAAATAACTTAAACCACACATTTTATGGGACATACAACTTTTCAACCACGCATTTCATGAACTTTTATCAAATTTGATTTTAATGTACATCAAACAAGGGCATAATTATCTCTCAAGTTGCACGCCAGAGAAAGTAAGCCCTTTTCCAGGAAATTTCTATCATGGGACAAGTTTACTTTGATATGCACCTTGTGAGCTAGTTTTGTGGGTAAAATGTCTCTCACCCACGAGCCATCTTGGCTCACACAGACCATATCCATGATGAGATAAAAAAACTCTTTGCATGTATGTTGAAAACTAAATTTAAAATATATAAATCACGTGTCACTTGTTTAAGAAAATAAGCTTTTAGATGACGTGTTATGGTACCATAATATATGAAGATTTTGGTTGAGTGAAGCCACCACCACCCATTTATGAAATTAGGCACATGTCAAGTCCTTTGATGAAAAATGAATTTCACCTGCACGCGACGCGTGGAAGAAAAAATGTAAATAGATAAATGCATACCTTGAATGTCTTAAAACTTTTATTGACATGACGTGTTTTAAAAGTGTACAACCGTGTATGAAATTTCTAAGCAAATTAAATTATGGAATGGTAAAGGAACACTTCCAAAAAAAATCCACTTTCTTGCTCTAAAACCCGTCGATGATACGATTGAAGTTGATATTCAACAAATAATTTAACTTCCGTCGCTAATTATTGATAGAACTCAACTACATAAAATATGTATCAACATAATTACCTGACTCCTAGTAAGCCCTGTTTGCTTTGCCAGCATGTGTTTATCTGAATCCTTAGGATAACTGCAATTTGAAGTGATATTTTCATGATTCTTTGTATATATGATAATCAAATATTAAAAAAATTAAGATAATTCTTCAAATAGTGATTAAAGTACTAACGGATTAATGAAGTTCTCGAAGAGCCAAGCACGAAGAATTGAAACTGCTCTTTCAGGCAAACCTCTCTGAGGTCTCCATGCACTGTTTTGAATCATTCCCAGCTGTTGCAATGCCCTTTCTTGCTGGTATTGATGATCTACAAACTTAAGTCTCGAGCCCTCAAACTTTTCGCCTGAATTCTCTACCTCTCCTAAGCTCTTGTTTATTGACTTTATTTGTGCAGATATTGCATCTCTCAGGCACCGGAATTGCTTCGATATTGTCTTCAAAGCAAGTTGAGTGTATGATTTAGCTGAACCAATTCCTGCTGCCATCTCAAATGATGCCACAACAATTTGCATTTGTTGATGGTGCTGTTTGTATCTCAGCTCAACCTAAAATTCATTAAGTAAAATGAATAAATAAATAAACAATAAGATCAGCATGAATAATCTTTTAAATTTCTTGTACTATATGTTTTGGATCTTTATGCATTTTATGACATGGTCCCGTATTCAATATGTGAAATCAATCAATTTTTGGAGGGGGCCAATGCACAGTGACCTGAACCCACCAAATTTGGCGCTTAAATACGCCGAATTTTGCACGGGCCAGCCTTAATATAATTGGAGTATTTTTCTCTGATTGAAGTTGAAGTAAGCAATTATAAAACTTTGAAGATTCACTTTTGACCTACCAACACTATACCCATTGGTGAATAATGCATGGAAATAATTAAGAAATTTCGTATCGGATAAATTGAAATCCATTTTTTGGCTATTTAGTTCGATTTCTTAACTATACACGTGTGCTGAAAAATCTTAATTAATGAACTAAATTCTTCACCACCACAACTAATGGTGTTTTATTATATGAAATCCACATGAACCCAACTCCATTTCATGGATATTTGTCCTAAATATTGTTTGATTACCACAAGATATGATATTTAATTACTTTAATAGCCTCCTGCAGACAAGGATAAGACTCCATAGTATCCAAAAGCAATAAGCACAAATTCAAGAAAGAAAAACAGAATGGAATAAAGAAAAAGAGAAGGTAAAAAAAAGAAGACATGAGTACCTCATCTAACATGTTAATAAGTTTAGCTTTCTTCATCTGAATCTCCTGCCTTTGAGCAGTTGTAAGTTCAGTTTCACATCCCTTAATGCCAAAGACCTGAACATTCTCTCCTGTGGACTCTTTGATTATCTTCCGTTTCTCTGCTGCCTCTCCAGCCACCACGCCATCGATTTTTGTGTCTTTTGCGACGTTTACGAGCTCATCAAGAAGCTGTTGAGCAGCCTTAAGATATTTGGATCCCAAAATTACACTTCGCAGATTATTAACTCCATTAGACACAGCAGAGAGCGATGTAGATGAACCAGGTTTTGGTGATATAGTGACATCATGATTTGTAGGAAGTGACCTATAGCCTATCTGTTGAGGTGAAAGGGTCAAAGACAACCCTCGTTGTGACGGTGACACCGCTGGCCTTAGGGAAACGCCGTCGTTAGTGTCACCGGAATTGGTTGCAGCCACCACGGAAGATAAATTGTGTTGATTTACACCGCCGGCTTGATCAACCGACTTCCACAGATTATAGTGACCACGAGGGATTGCACCATGGGAGGCTTGAATTTCTTGTTGGCCAAGAACTGAGGAATGGTTGTGATGGTTCGAATTGGGCGATCCAACAGCTGCAGAAAGTGGGACACCAACAAAGTGGTGAGACTGAGGCAGCGGCGCCCGAGATATCTGTGCAGCGTTGACCACGTGTCCCTCCGTGGCGGCGGAGTTAAAAAAGAGCATGTTGGCCGGTTTCTGTACTGTTGTATTGTCAGAATACCCTACATAATTAGGGTTCATCAGATAAAGTGTCTGTAGACCATCAGCTTGGATTTCTGAGCTTCCTTGGTACATGGCAGTAAATTTCAACAAAACAAACAGATTTTGCAGCTATAAATTCCTTTCAGAATCAATCAGAAAACATCCTTAAAAATCTGCTTTTTACTTATAAGTGAATCCAGTCCAATTTTGCTTTTCAAGAATTCTTGTCAAAATAGTTCATATCAAATCAATTATAATTAATCTGGTCCAGCTGATTAAACCCTGAAAGAAAGTAAGAGAGAAGAAACTGATGAGGAATAATCCATGCAAAAACTCGAATATATTAAAAAAAATTTAACCATTAAAGATCTGATCAACTAATTTTACAGGTTCAAGCTACTCATTATTTTTATATATGTGAAGATAAGATGATTTTTGTTGAACAATATATTAAAAACAGATAAGAAAAATACAGAAAAATTAGAAAAAATAAACATCAAACATAGTATAAAGAAACCTTGTCTCTCTGTCTTAGGATTGAACTGGGAAATTGCTCTCTTGTCAAGCTCAAATTCTGATGCAAATTCTCAGTCTCTTCAACTGATAAGAAAAAAGAATACTAAAAGAGAAAGTGGGGCTACTAATAGTGTGTAAGAATGAAAATTTTCTCATGAAACAAAATTTTTCTCTTCCTTTCTGCTGAGAAAGACAAGGTAATAATTCAGAGGTTGTTGTTTGTTTTTGTACAAGATTAGTCTCACTTTCTATACACACACATGTTGGGTTAGGTACGTGTGTGTGATGGATAATAAACAAAGACTTCTGGGGCTTGACCTTGCTAATGTACTATCAGTAGATGCTGCCACGTTTGATGAAATGACCATTTTTATTTTGTTAATAAAAAAAAGCTTGTTGATAGGTAATTTCCATGGAGCTTTTAATAAAAACTTTACGAGGTAAATATATGTATTTAAAAAAATCCACAAAAAAGAAAACTTTTTTTTTTTTTCAAAAAAAAATATATATATTTATGTAAATTTTCTTTTTCCCTTCTTTTTTCAAAAAAAAATATTATTTGAGGCCAAATATGGGCTTAAATTAATAATTTTTCTTCAAAGTATTTAAGACTTCTAAATAAGTTGACTTAATATAGGCCTTGTTTGAGCCCTTTTTGGGCGAAACCGCGAAAGTAAATTTTATAATAGTAATTATTTGGAGAATATGCTATTAAAAAATAAGAAATTTTTTTGAATTTGTGGAAGAACGTGTGATTGAAAATGAATTTTATAAAAAATAAATTTGGAGAAAAGCGGAGCTCAAATATAGGCACAGTATTAGAGTTGATACAGGTGATTAATACTAGTACTGATTTATTAATAAAAACTATATATGTATTAGATATTGAATCAAAAAATAAATTTAGTCTCTGTTTGACTTTCTTTAAAACAAAATAATTTATTTCTTATACTCATTTTCAACCATACATTCCACAATAAAATATTTTGCACTTATATTCAATTTTTTTCGTTACTTTTTAATCGTATATTCTCCAAAAAATTACTATTCAAAATATCATTTTTACACGATAATATACATCAAACATGTGCTTAGTTTACACTTGAGAAAGCATTCTAAGGGCAAACCATAAAAACTTAGACAACAAAAAATATTTTAATAAATTTTATAAGCAATACATTATCCGAAAATCATGTCATCTTTATTTTTTTGCTTTGTTCAATAGAAAGATATAATCGAGGATGATTTAATTCGTGGAAATTAATGCTTAGGAACAAGAAACATGTTAACGTGTTCAGTTACTCTTTTCTACAGATTGGACTTGCTAACGATATTAATAAAATTATGTCTGGTAGAAATAGTGCTACTCTTGACGTGGTCTATTGCCCTTCTTCCATATTTCTTCGTCTTTTGTGGAGAAACTTATCAATAATATACGGCTTTTCCAAAACTATTCGTGGGAGATTTTGGATGTTACATCATTTTCCATGTACCAAAACGAGTACAAGTCAATAAATGAAATTTATAATTGTTATATTAGTATTCTTGTATCATTACATTATTACTGCTAACATATGCATTATATTATTGCTGCTAAGTATGCATACCACATCATTGCTAGCATGTCATGACACTATTTTCGCTACTGTTAGTACGTATGTCACGTTATCTACGTTATTAACATATTACTTGCTTCACTATAGCACTACTATTATACTAAATTGTGTAAGCATATGACCTGTTATGATGCATGATAGGCTTTTTTCATATTATATCTTGGGAGAAATGTGATATATCATCATTCACTTTATCTTCATGAATAATTTGAGGGGCAAATGGATCCCGATTTATTTTATATATGCGCGGCGGAGATATTATGTTGTATTACATATTGGTTTAGTCCATATTATAGAGGAGATGCTACCAAAACTTCGACAAATTATATGCAGAACTACCTTTCGAGGCACTACGTAAGTTTTCACTTATTCAGACTCGCACACATTTTTTGAGACAGTTCGTAAGTCTTCAGTGGAGCGATTTATATTCTCGAGGCAATTCGTAAGTTCTCACATATTTGGGATTGAAGCATATTTTTGAGGCAGTTCGTAAGTTCTCGCTTATCCGAGCTACTTATATTTTTTAGACAATTTGTAAGACCTCATTTACTGACAACTTGTATTTTGAAGTCCAACCCGCACATGAATTTACGACTCGGACTTGGGGATCTATTGTTGCACCTATAAATTACGTAGCATACGCTCGACGAAGATGATCCCACATTGGCCAAATTGAATATTTTTACTTCAAAGTTCGACCTGCACATGAATATATAACTCAAACTTCGGGGATTATTGTTACACACATATATTAAGTGGCATCGAGTATTTTATTAGAGTGGACCTATTTAATCAAGTAGGATATTTTTGGGCCTAAGCCTTGGTCTGGCCCACATGTCTATTTACATTTCCTATATACATGTGATTCATTTCATAATTAAGGTATGTTCTCTAACCATATCCAAATTTTCTCTCTCTCTCTCTCTCTCTCTTGCATTCAATTTTCCTCTCGTCCGGTCGTTGACTTGATCGTCGGAGTGCAAACGGTCGCCGGACCTTTTTCTCGATCGGCGGTCTTTGCCTCCAACAGGATGTTCAATATGCAGGTAATGTCCACACGGAGGGGACGTGGTAGAAATTCTCTTGATTCATTTTTTGGGGTCAACATAATTATATTTAAGCTCTTCTTTACTCACACGCAAACATACGATCAAATTTGTAGATATTTTAAATCATTTGTATTTTTCATTTTGACTCGATTCATCCTTGCCTATTAGAATTAAACTTCATTGCAACGAGAGAATGTGAGACTAACTTCAAAGATATGAGTTCCTTATACGTGGACTCAATATGCACGTGATTAGGGGCGGATTTAGGGAGGTTGATAGCCCAATCACTTTTTCGTGAAACAAAATTATGTAACGTTTGTTTATATGTTAGTCCAGTCTAAAAGATTCTTAGTCTAATCTTGATTCCGCCCTTCATGTGATTTTTCTTTTTTAGTGGACCAATACTCATATTTTTTTAGGTCCTTGTGCATTTGTGTTAATTCCTTCTTTGCTTGCATATTAGTGTAATTAGTTGGATTGATATCTCACCATTGAAGTCAAGAGTGATAAATAATATGTTCGAAATGCAATAAGAACTAGTTTCTCATTGAAAAAAACATGGAACAACTCCCATGTTTTGCTTTCTCATAAGTTTAGTTCGGGCGGGCCTCTTTCTTTCCCCGAAAGAAACCTCAAAAATGGAAGAAAATGTGAAAATTGAGGAAGAAAGAGATTTAGAAATAGATTTCGCTTCCGAAATGAAGAGATGACTAAACAGGAACAAGAGATATCAGCTAAAAAACTCTTTATCTTAATACGTTGGATGATTGAGAATTTTCATAGCAATTTTCTCCGCATCGTATATGGCACTATCATTCATGTTTTGTGCTGCAACACTCAGAACAACTATACCATTATTGAAAACTAAGACCGTTTCCTTGATTTACCTATCAAAGAAAATATCATATCTATCTTGACCTCTTTCTATTTTATATTTTGACAATTTTCCGAACACTATCTTGAATCGATATACCTAGGCTAAACATCGTACCTTGTCTTATTGCAGTTCCCATCTTTATCCATTGAGAACAAATATTATCAAGAAGTAACCGAATTTTTTTAAAGGAAGTAAGGAACTAATGAAAATATCAAATGAAGTTAGTGCATGAACTCAATTACTCAAAAAAGCAATGACAAGTGTTCAATTACATTAAATCAGCTTCATTTAATTAATAAAAAATCTGATTAAAATCAATTTTTATTTTACAATTGGAACAAATTTTAGACCCAATGGTAGAAAAAATTATCACTTTAATGGACAAATTCCATAAAAAATGAAGTCAAATGGACACAAAACTTTCTACATTTTCCATAGAAAATTTTACCAATCAAACACAATTAATTACCATTCCCAGTAAAACATTTTCTAGGAAAATCAATTCCCTGTAAAACATTTTCTTTCCACCCATTTTCCAACTTTGCAATCAAACGGACCCTTAGTGCATGAACTCAATTACTCAAAAAAGCAATGACAAGTGTTCAATTACATTAAATCAGCTTCATTTAATTAATAAAAAATCTGATTAAACAAGGATTTGAAGGGAATCAAAAGTCAATTAATAGGGGATTAAGAAAGTTGATTTTAAAGTGGGATTTATATATTTTTTTAATTTCTTTTTTTAATAAAAGTAGTGCACTTTAGAATTGGATGTCCACGATGGGTACCAGGAATTCCAATTCCTTCCACTATCACCTCCTATATACTTGTCTTTTTCACTTTTTTTTTATTTAAAAAATAATTATATTTGCTTTCCTCTTTCTTTAAATGTCAATGTCAACTATCACTCATCAATTATATAAGAAATAATTAAATTTACATATAATTAATTTCTTTGATTACGAAATTACAAAAGACTTTCGTCTCAGAGTTCAATTCCGACCTAGCCACGAAGGCAAAATTCACAGACTAGCT